AAAACCCACCAGGTTGTTTTGACAAAGGCAAAATCCCCTCCTCTGCTGAGGGAGGAGCTTGTGTCAACCTGAAGATGGAGAAATCCTCCAGAATTTATCATTTCCTGGTGCCACAGATCCCAGGGGGGAAAAAAAATAAAAAACCCAAAACCAAAACCCACCAGGTTGTTTTGACCAAAGGCAAAACCCTGATCCTGATCCTCCTGTGCTGAAGGAAGGAGATTGTGTCGACCTGAGGATGGAGAAATCCTTTAAAATTTATCATTTCCTGGTGCCACAGATCCCACAAAAAACCCATCAGATTGTTTTGCAAACCACTTATAAATGCAAAATCCCGACCCTGAGTTCTCAGGGTGAACTTCATCTCCACCCTTCACCAGGGCAAAATCCTGACCCTGAGCCCACCTGGTTCCACGTGGGCTCTTCTTCACCTTTTAAAGTATATTCCTAAAATCAGGAGACTGGCAGGGATGGTGTTTTCCTGGGAAAAACAGCCTGTGCTGCTGCCAGCAGCCCCAAAACTGGTGTTGATTTGGCATAAATGCCAGGGCTGATGCCTTGAGAATGTGATCTAGAGCAGAGGCTGGACTAAAGAATAAATTAGGGATTTATTAAAGGATCTCCTCCATGGATCCACCTTGGGCAGCACCAGAGCCCAGCCAGGGCTGCACCCAAATGAACCAAAATGGTCCCAAAATGAACCCAAATGAACCAAAAGGGTCCCAAAATGAACCCAAATGAACCAAAATGGTCCCAAAATGAACCCAAATGAACCAAAATGGTCCCAAAATGAACCCAAGATGACCCAAAATGGTCCCAAAATGAACCCAAGATGACCCAAAATGGTCCCAAAATGAACCAAAATGGCCCCAAAATGAACCCAAATGAACCAAAATGGTCCCAAAATGAACCCAAGATGACCCAAAATGGTCCCAAAATGAACCCAAATGACCCAAAATGGTCCCAAAATGAACCCAAATGACCCAAAATGGTCCCAAAATACACGAGCGCTCCCGGGGCTCTCCCTGGGATCAGTTCTGCTCCATTGGCACCTTGGAGTTCATTCCCATTCCAGCTCCAGCCCATCAGTCCCACCCTGCTTGTTTTTCTCTCTCCAGCCCACGGTGTTTGTGCTCCTGGGCTGAGGTTTGGATCATTTGTCCTTGGTGCCCAGCTGGAGCAGGAATTGTTTTGTGTCCCTGCTCTGTGCACAGAGCTCACCATCCCATCATGTGAAGCCCAGACCCACACACTAAAGCAGCTCAGAATGTGAAAAATATAAAAGCTCAACCCTGAGGCATCAGAGAGGTTATCCCAGGGATCCAGGCCGTGCCTGGTGATTTATCTGGGAAAACAACAGAAATCAGGAGGGGAAGTTTGGGGAGGGAGGCTCCAACAATTGGGGCTCTGTGAGAAGCAGGCAGCTCGGGGCTGCTTCCCTCCCTCGCTCCCTGACACCAGGCTGGGATGGTTCTGCCTGGAAGTTTGGGAGAAAACAGCTTTGGAAAAGCAAAATTCCAAATCCTCCTCGAGTGCCGTAGATCCACAGCAGAGCTTGGTTTTTCCCACAAACAGAATTAAGGTAGAGCAGGAGGAAAAACCTGCATTTTCCAGGTTTGTTTTCTGGTCCAGCTGAGATTTCATCCTTTTAATTCCACCAGATGGGTGGAAAATGCCAACATTTCTCCCTGGGGATCAGTGGTTCAGTGAAAACACAGGGAATCAGTGAATCCACAGGGAATATTACCCAAATTTCCTGAAATTTCCCGGTTTTTCACCTCTGGAGGTGTTGGGAGATGTGTGACCCTCTGCACTTCATTCTCCTGCACCTCCCATGGGAATGCTGGAGCTTTTCCCTAAGGATATTTCAGGGAAATTTGCTGGATTTTGGCAAACTGGGGGTGTTTTCTTCCTTCAACATTTTCTCCTCCTGCACCAAATCCAGGTGGGGTTTTTTGGGAGGGGATGTGATGTCGTCAGCACATCTCCTGCTGCTTCCAAAATGAAAATATTTTGGTGGTTTTGTTTCAAAATGGCAAATCTTGTAGGAATAGTTTTGTTAGAACTGGGATTTTCACCAAGAAAGCTATGAAATAAAATATATAGAAAGAAAATAAATAGCCCCAAAAAAAGTAGATAAAGAGAAATATTTTGTTTCATCCCGGACCATCCAGCTCTGACTCTGGAGCAGGGTCAGCCCAAAAATAAAAAATAACAAACACTGGAAAAATGCAATTTTCACTGAACAATTCCACCTAAATTTCAGGGTTTGGTTTGCAGGATAACCAAACCCTGCAGCTGCAGGGCTCTCAAGCAAAATAAGAAAAGGATCTTTTCCAAAAGCAGCATTTTTCCCCCCAAAAGAAAGCACCAGCGCTGTGGGAAACTTTGGATGCTTCAGTGGGACCCCACCCAGGAGCACCCCAAAATTTGGGGCTACCCAAATTTTAGGGGTTTGGGGGATATTTTAGCCCGTGGTGCCACCTGCAGGCAAAGGCCCCGGTTGTCCCCAGAACTGCCCATTTGTCCCCAAAACTGCCAATTTGTCCCCAAAACTGCCCATTTGTCCCCAAAAATGTCCCCAGAGCTCTCAGGGGCATTTCCAGCCCCTCAGAACTCCCCCCTGCAAGTGGAACAGGGGGTTCAATGCACTTTAAAGCAGTTTTTAATGTGCTTTAAAGCAGTTTGAAAGACTTTTTAAGGTGCCTTAAAGTGGTTTAAAGCAGTTTTTAAACCAGGAGTTTTTAGGAGAAGGGCAAACTCCCCCCC